TTTTTTTAATGGAAACAAATTTTATAACCAATTGTGAAAAAAATTATCACTTTAATGGACAATTTTCTTGTAAAATAAAGACAAACGAACATAAAATTTAAAAATTTTTCGGGTAAAAAATTATATCAATCAAATATACTAAATTAACAATTCCCTGCAAAACAATTTTTAGGCAATTACTTTTTCTGGAATTCATTTTATTTTCACTTATTTTTCACCATTACAATCAAACAGACCCTTAAAATTAGGATAAAATTTATCAGTGATCATGGAGTTTATCTCCTTGCTCTCAACTCATCGTCAGCATCACATGATCACCTAATACTTAGATAAATACTTTCTGCTAGTTGGGAATATGAATTCCACATGTTTAGAAGGTTGAGAACATCAGTGAAATAAATAATAAGTGAGGGACAAGTACTAGGTATGACAACGAGATGGAATGACACCTCGCCCGCATTGAAGATTTTCTAGAGGCGAGGCCAGATTTAAATATTTATGTTTACCCTTTTTTTTTTCCCCTCATGATACGATTTAAATTTATATTCTTAAAAAATAATTAAAAGAAAAAAGAGTTAGGGCAACTACATTTAAGAAAAGTTGAGAACCCCTTGTGGAATTTAACTTTTTTTTTTTTTTTGAAATTTCATCCTTTACCCCTTGGAGAATATTCGAACGGTCAATGATTTGATAAAACTTCATTCTTACCAATATTTAAGCTAAACTTAAGTCATGGATTTTAGCAATGTGTGTAATTAAAAGTAATTATTAAGTTCGGACAAGAAATGAACAAAGTCGGAGAAATAATACTATAATAACTTCATTGCGGAGACAATTAAGCCTCCTCTGACAAAATTTATAAATTATTCATAAATAGTTAACTTTTATTTCAATGAATTTATAAATATCATATATGTATCCACCATTAATTTCTATTTATTTATAAAATCAGTTATAATTTTTTCCCAAACAGAAGCTAAGTTGGATAGTGCCTTGGAAGCTCACACTTACAAAAGTAAATTATTTTAAAGGATAATTCTTGTGGTACATCAAGGGGTACATTAGGGTGTTCATAATGGACATTCGGCGCGCTCTCATTGGTGGGAGAGCCGGTCCCACAAGCTCTCCTACCAATGGGAGCGCGCCGAGTGTCC